TCCCATTTATAATAAAAAAGTGAGCTAAATAAACGCTTTATTTATACCATCATTCATTTTATTTGATTAAATATTGTGCGACAATTAATTTAAAGTACAATATATTATTAAAAAACTTACAATAATTTTCTTGTTATACCTAAACTATTTTATTTAAGTACTTTATTTGTATTTTTTAATTGTGCAATTTCAATCTTATAATTCGTTATTATTAAATGATATCTCAATCGGAAGTTTAAAATTAGTTCAATTTGAAAATGTCCAAACGGGCAAGACATGAACCAGAACAATTTTTGAACGTTTAAAAGACGTTTAAAAAACAATCTTGGACCAAATGCCTGCTTGAATCATTTATAGAGTATTGTTAAAACGTCCTAATAGATATGTACATTTAAGTTACACGTTAAACATATAATTATAGTAATGGCATTCTATTTTCATTTGACTTTTTTTTTCCAAATAAAACTATTATTGTTAAATATATATTATACCCAGTTGGTACTAGACGTGTTTTAGGCCTCTTTTTCTTTTAAATTCTTAAAAAAGATTTTAGTTAAAATATAAACAAATTTATCAATTTTAAATTTATCAACATGAAATTGACAAACGAGTTTGTCAATTTCACTAATCTAACATCGCGATGATTGGAAAACCACCTCAGATTTCCTCTTTACAATTGGTTTCTGCACCTAATTTTTTTAGGTGGCCAAATATAGATTTTTTTTTGATTAATTTATTTTAGGTGTCGCAAAAAATACTTACAGTCTCATCACAGAGCACCATGGAAGAGAGCTTGAAACGAAGTTCACGGCTTCTTTCTTACCGATAAAACTTGCCCAGAGGTGGCGTAGAACCACGAATTTTTAGCTTTTTTTTAAACATTTTAATTTACTTTTATTAATTTGTTTTTACAAAATAATGAAAATAGATAAAAATTAATACAATTTATAAGTAATTTATAGTTTTTTTAAATCTAATAGTATTTGCTTACAAGTAAGTAAATACTATTAGATTTAAAAAACTAGGTATCTAAAAGAAGATCAGTAAGATCTTATCATTAGAACCATTTGTGTTAACAAAATATTAGTTTATTAAGTAACTAAAAGAAGAACATAATAAAATAAAATTTACATATACATATCGCTTTGTAGTATAGGTAATAAAGTTTAACAAATATATAAGTATTATTGTATTTATATTTATATTATTTCCATAATATAAATATTATTGTCAAATTTTGATAACATGGGATAGTAAAAGATTTTTCAGTTTAATTTTAAAAAATGCAAAGAACTAGATCAAAATCAGGCAAAAGAATTTTTTTCCGAAAATGGAGTGAGATGAGATGGGGTGCACAAAAATCTATGCAAAATTGGTTAAAATTTGTTCGACAAATAAGTTCATATAGAAGGTATTTCTAAGAAATTATTTCTTAGAGAGTATTTATTGAAAGGTTTCAAGGTAAATAGATCTTTAAAAACGTCAGGATAAAGATTATTTTTACATATCGTCACATTAAAATTAAAGGGTTCTATCTGCCTTATGTTGTAAGAACTTAACTTTCAATATTTATTTAATACAAGTTTTACAGCTGTTATTCATTATAGTTTATAAGTTATAAGTTGTTTATGTTATCTGTTAAATATGTTAAAAAATGATATATAATATATCATTTTTTAAGTGGTTTGTTTTTATTATTAATTATTAATTAAAACTTTGATTGTTAAATTCATTCAACATAAAACAAGGAAGATAGAACCCTTTAATTCTCATGCGACGATATATATACGAAGCATAAAGTATTAAAAATATTATTCAGAGCCGACAACACGAGGGGACCCGGGGGCACGTGCATCAACACTTTTTTTCTAAAGGACCTTTTTTTTAGAAAAATTTTAGATACAGAGGACTATTTTTATAAATTGACGATTGTGCCCCTCTACTTTAAAACCCGTGTTGTCGGCCATGTTAATTATTTATATAATCGTATATATATATATATATATATATATATATATATATATATATATATATATATATATATATATATATATATATATATATATATATATATATATATATATATATATATATATATATATATATGATATATATATATATATATATATATATATATATATATATATATACATATATTTTATTTATATATAATTATTTATATATATATAATTACTTTTATATATATAACTACTTTTATATATATATATATATATATATATATATATATATATATATATATAATATATATATATATATATATATATATATATATATATATATATAATTTATATAATTGTATATATATAGTTATATATATAATCGTATATTATGGTCGTCGGCCATGTTAATTATTTATATTCTCATTTCAGAAAAAAAAGTTTTTTACAGTAAGAAAAACAACCAGCAATTAATTACACGTATTGCATGTTTCTGACAACGATGGAGAGATTATAATTACTTTTTTCAGTGTTTGCCCAAGCAATATTTGTATAATTTATATAGCTATGAATAAATGCATAATAAAATTGGAACAAAACTTTTTTTATTTAAATAGATTCTAACTCTATAAAGAATTTTAATATTTTTGGAAACTTTAGTACCTACATAATCAATATGCTGCTTCCATGTGATGTTCTCATAGCTTTTTAGGCGAGCTAACCACTGCGCTACGGCCTATAGTGACTTTTGCATCCCAACTGGCTAGAACCGCTATATTGGAGGGGCAAAAAAATATTCACGTTTGTTTTAAAGTTAACAAGCAATGTAAATAATATCTAAGAGAAATTTATAAAAGTTTGACATCAAAATTATTAAAAGTTTTTTTTTTTTTTTTGACATCAAAATTTTATATGCGATTTAATGGAAATTTTTTGAATATTTAAAAAAATTCTATTTTTTTCTTTCTAAAACGATCAAATAATTAGTTGTTCAATATTCAAAGCAAACGTTAATGTTTGTAAACTTTTCTTTCAACTCAGTGTCAGTTTTCTTTCAACTCAGCGATTTACAAATTAATCGAATTCTTTTATATGAAATTAGCATGATTTTATCAGCATGTTATGTCCAAGCAAGAGCTTTAGATATAATTTTTTTTGCTTCAGGTTTTGATAATATTTAAATGAACTTTTCTTTTCTTTTAAATAACTTCAAAATCTTTTTACTGACCTAAAAAGTAAATCTAAAAAACACTATTTTTGAGTCATTAAAATTGCTTAATTGTTAACATGAACTAAATCTTTTGAAAAAGTCCCTTAACCCACTATAGAACCTATTTTAATCGGTTCTGACGTATACAGTGGTGTACCCTCCGGTTTTTCCCCAGTCGCCTGCAGGGCGACTAAAAGTCATCCGGTGTAAAATTTTTTTTATTGTATTTTTTCTCGGGTAAAACTAATGATATATTTTTAAATTTTAGATTATGCAAAGCCGTGTACTTTGCTTTTAAGGAGCAAATTATTATTAGTTGGTTAGGGAAAAAAACAAAACAAAATACTTTGACTGCAAAAGTAACAACGCTTCAGTCACTAACTGCATTATAAAAGTAATAAAACTATAATAGTGTTATTGCTTTTATAAAGCACTAATAACTTTTAAAGTTCATTCTTAGTTTAAGCAACATTAGTAACTCCAAAGTTTAATAAAAGTAGATAAGCATCTAGATAATATAGAGTGGATATTCAAATATTATTAAAAACTTTAAGAACTTTTACAAATACTTAACGTTATGAAAAGGTACTTTATAAAAAGTTTTGCATTATGAAAAACATACTAAAAGTCCATAAAAACGTGCGTTAATTTAAAATTTTTTATTAGTTGTGCACCAGATTAGCATAACAATTGTTCAAGCGTGGATAAAAGCATGAAAATTTTTTTAGATGTAGAAAATAAGATATGGATTTAAGATATGGTGCATTTAAGATATGGTGCATTTAAGATATGGTGACACGTCCAACAAAGTTTTTAACAAATTACGGTAAAATTACCGCATAGTTTAAATTTATCCAATCATATTGCACTTTTAAAAAAACTATTTAAAAAAAAAAAGATTAAAAAACAAATCAAATTGCAAAAAAAAAAAAAGGTAAACAAAATTTATCGGTTGAAAGTAAGTTTATAGTAAATTTTTATAATGTGTTTTGAGGCAACTATAAATAAATGTCTAGATTAGAACTCCGTACGAAATATTAGAATAAAATCTTATGTTATACTAGATTATAATCCTAGACTTAATAAGAACCCATACTAAATATAGGATTAAAAAATCTGGAATAGAACCCTATACTAAACTCTAGATTAAAAACAATAAAGATATATATATATATATACATTTATTTATTTATATAATTCATAGGGCTCTATGCATATACATTTTGACCAAGCAATATATTGTTGCTCAATTTATTTCTACGGCGAATGAGGTTTTCAACGGCCTTAATCCGATTGACTGGGTAAAGCGTATTTTCTGCCAAAGTACATCTGCAAACAAGTTGATTTGCCCCGCTAATTCTTAGCTTTCGGATTGTTTGACAGGTTATTAGTCGCTTGCTAAAATCTTACTACAATTTGTGCAGGCAAATTTGCTACTGCCTGGTTTTTATATTCAGCGATTAGATGACGACAGTGGCTTTGAAAGTACTTTGATATCAAACAAAGCTAAGTGGCATAAACCTATGTAGGATGTTTTACTATTCCACTTAACTCAATTGAGCAGCTAAATGTCTTCGTTACACTTCACTACTGCAGAGGATGAATTCTCGTTAAATGAGGCCAAACCACTTAACGTTGAGCAGTTCACTCAGGAGATCCATGTCCAGTGATATGAGAAAATCAAATTTGGTTTACACACAACCGGTTTGTTTTATTTCTGATACCAGTGAGTCAAAAGACTCATTGCACAGTGTCTGTTCCACAGATCTGGATCTAAAAATCCGCGAGTGTGCTATTACCTTGGGCGACTCTACATTATTAACCAATTTGAG